CCCCTGCTTCTCTTCAGGCTGTGACTCCTCTGAAAGAGAATCAATTGCCTGACCCTCTTTAAGATCCTACACCGCATCTGAACTCTTGTTCAAGGACTGGTGGGTCCCAGGATGGGGATCTTTCCCGCATCTTACCCCCTTGAGTCACCGATGCCACCATCCCAACAATCTTGCCATCCATTTTGGCTAACAGCTTTTTGAATGGGTCCGATTGAGGCCCTTGACTCTCAACAGAATCATGCCAGACCTCGTAGTATGCGTCACAGAGCACATTTTCAGTGAACATCCACCTTGCAGACACAGGCGAAAAAAATTAGTACTTCCTGTGTAGGGGGGGGGGGGGGGGGGGGGGGGGGGGGGGGGGGGGGGGGGGGGGGGGGGGGGGGGGGGGGGGGGGGGGGGGGGGGGGGGGGGGGGGGGGGGGGGGGGGGGGGGGGGGGGGGGGGGGGGGGACTTCTTGTTTGGTTGGCCAGTGTCCATTTACCTATAGGTGGCATATAATCCACAGCCATTATTATGGCCTGCTCTGTGTCCCATGATGTACAAAAAAGTCGTTTCTCCAGAGAACTTCCTGAGAGAAAATGATTAAATCACTTTCTTTAGATGGTAACACACTTTATTACCACCCACTAATAGGGATGAAAAGACTCTGCAACATGGCATATGGAGGTGTCCGCTGCCTCAGTAAGGCTTGAGACCAGGAAGTGGGGGGTTGCAAAAGTTTTTTTGCCTGCTTAGAGTTTTCAAAAAAAGCTTTTGTAAACTCTAAGCGTGCTTTCATGTGTTTTGCACTGAGGAGGGGCTTCTGTCTAGCCATGCTGCCATAAAGCCCAGATCGGTGGAGGGCTGCAGTGATTGTTTCCCTTCTGGAACTTTGTCCCATCTCCCTACAGGATCTCTGGAGCGCAGTCAGAGTGACCATCACGTTCTTGGTCACCTCTCTTACGAAGGCCCTTCTTTCGTGATTGCAGAGTTTGGCCTACTGAGCAGCTCTTGGAAGAGTCCTAGTCCTGCCAAACTTCTTCCATTTGAGAATTATGTAAGCCACTGTGCTCTTGGGAACCTTCAGTGCAGCAGAAATTTTTTTCTAGTATCTCCAGATCTGTGCTTTGCAATAATCCTGTCTCTGAGCTCTGCAAACAGTTTATTTGACCTCATGGCTTTTGTTCTAATACAGTATGTATTGTCAGCTGTGAGGCCTTTTATAGAGAGGTGTGTGCCTTTCCGATACGTTTCAAATCAATTTTATTTACCACAGGTGGACTCCAATCAAGGTTTCAAAACATCTCAGAAATGATCAAGAAAAACGGGAGGCATATGAGCCAAATGTGTTATTGCAAATGGCCTGAATACTTATGCCAATGTGATATTTCAGTATTTTCTTTTTCATGAATTTGCAAACATTTCTAAAATCCTGTTTATATTTTGACATTATGGGGTAGAGTGTATATCCATGAAAAAAAAAATGAATTTAAACTGTAGCATCAGGCTGCAACATAAAATTTAAAACAGTGAAGGGGGTATGAATACTTTATAAATGCATTGTATATGCTTTCCAAGTGCATACATTTGTCCACATGGCACAACAAAAGTCGTGTCATTTTCTCTTCAGTGTAGGAGGTTGTTTTCTTTCTTTGTTCACTTTAAGAAAAAATAACTATACATTAAAACCAGCTAGATCAGGAGTGACATGTTTTAAAGCCCTTTTACTGCTTGTTAACCGCTTCCCGACCGCCCTATAGTAGAAATGCTGCTACAGGACGACACGGGTGCGCAGAATCACACATATACACACGTGTATCTATGTGTGTGTGTGTATATATATATACACATACTATACACATATATACACACACATACATATATACACACACGCGTGATTTCGCATTACCGGGTAGAGGGCTCGTGAGGACCACGCGTGCCCTACCTGTGACGACATTCGCGGCTGTCAATCACTGGGTCCCGGACGGTAATTACTCGCCATCGCCTGGTGACTGCCTAGGATCTCCGATGGGGAGAACAGTTTGTAGCAAAACAGGTCTCCCTGTCAGCTCGTGCACACTGCTTTGCAGTGCAGCACAAACACACAGCCCCATAGTAAAAACACACCCAGCACACAGTTAACCCTTTGACTGCCCCTCATGTTAACCCCTTCTTGCCCAGTGCCATTAGTACAGTGTTTTGGTTTTTTTTTTTAGCACTGATCACTGCATTGGTGTCACTGGGGATGTCAGTGACACCTAAGTAAGTTCCCCCCCAGTGTCAGAATGCCCTCCGCTATAACTCGATCACCACCATTGCTAGTTTACAAAATGGCGGTGTATATATACTGACTTTTTTTTTTTTTCTTCAAACGCTACAACTTTCACATAAACCAAATAATTTCCACGTATTGGGATTTTCTTTTTTTTAGCAAAGACATGTAGCAGAATACATTCTGGCCTAAATTTATGACAAAGTTTGATTTTTTAAATGCTTTTACTGGACATGTTTAATGGCAAAAAGTCAAAAATATGTTTTTTTCCTCAAAATTGTTGGTCTGTTTTTTCTCTAGCTCAAAAAAAAAAAAAAAAAAAAAACAAAAAAAAAAAAAAACACACACACAGGCGATCAAATACCACCAAAAGAAAGCTCAATTCGTGGGGAAAAAAAAAAAGGACATATTTCATTTGGGTGCAGCATTGCATGACCGCACAATTGCCAGTAAAAGTAACGCAGCGCCATAACGCAAAAAATGGCCTGGTCAGGAAGGGCGGCGGAATCCTCAGGAGGGCAAGTGGTCAATAATACATTAATAGGTTAATGTCCGTAGCCTGGACACACGTTAACCGCTTGCAGACTGCCCCATGTATAAATACTGAGGCGGGACAGCTGCTCTGTGCTGGACCACATACATGTATATGATCCAGCACTTTCAGGTATGGAGTGTGTGCTCGCCCACCACCCCATCTATAAAATTTGGCACAACGCATGTCGATCAGCAGGTCTCAGCCACTGATTTATGGCTGGGACCTGCTGATTGGCTTAGCGAATGACAATACAGAGCCCTGTGTTAACTAACCTGCAAAGCAAGGAGAAAAGACAGTCACATCTCTTAGTAAATGCAGCACACATTACACTTGTTAGGCACACAGTTAACACTTTGACTGCGGATGCGGATCCGCATTTCTTTGTGCGGGTAGTGCAGCTGCACGGATTTTCGTGCGGATGTGCAGCAGCACCACCCGCACAGATGTGAACCTAGGGTTAGTGTCACTTGAGATGTCAGTTCCTACCCCCCGTGTCATATTGCCTAATAGCACTAGCACAGTCCCACTACAAGTCGCTGATCACCACTATTGATAATATAAAAAAAATATATATAAATCTATATACACACACACACACACACACACACACACACACACACACACACACACATTGATAACTTTCACACAAGCCAATAAATATACACTTATTGGGATTTTGTTTTTACCAACGACATGTATAAGAATACACTTTGACCTAAATTCATGAAGAAATTAAATTTTTTATTGGATGTGTTTTATAGCAGAATGTAAAAAAATATTTTTTTTCCAAATGTATGGCCTTTTTTCATTTATATAAAAAAATTAAAAACCCAGTGGTGATCAAATACCACCAAAGGAAAGATCTATTTGTGTGAAAAAATTATATAAAATTTAATTTGGGTACTGTGTTCCATGACAGCGCAATTGGCAGTTAAAGTAGCGCAGTATCGAATAGCAAAAAATGACCTGGTGATGAAGGAGGTAAAAATCATCTGGAGCTAAAGCAGTTAACCTTAAGCAGAAGAAAATTGAAAGCATGTGAAAAAAGGAGCCTAAGTAATACTCCACCTGTTGGCAGAAAATGGCAAGGCAACACATTAAGCAAAAATTCATATTTAATTGACTAAAATAAAAATCGAAGCACACAAATTAAATCAAAAGTAGGAATACCATTTATAGTTAAATCAAAAGGTCTCAAAAATGTATCATCAGAACGTTACACCTATGTAGACATGAAATCATGATCTATAGAAACGGTTAGAGGCGACATGAGAAAATGCAATTGATGCAACTGGTTCCACCACTGCAGAAGGTCAGGGTATTTAGCACTTAATCTGAAGGTAAGGGAGCATGGTAAATATCTATTATTGCAAATCTGATTAAAGGACTATTCCCCTTTCTCTGAAAAAATATACTGTAATAGGCTGAATTGAGGGTAAGGGGGTTCAGTGAAACCTGGCTGTACAAGTGAACACAAGCACGTATCTCTGCGCCTCTCATTCTCAGAAAGAGATCAGTGTTTAGCAAACTTTACACCCGCTGGCATAGGACCAATTTAGGTGTTCCAGTCCCAGTTCTGCAATGCAAAAAGGATAGAAAAGACAAAAAGCAGCATACAGGTATTGGCTGTGTATAACTAACAGATCTATACAAATAAGGGAGAGAGTTAATAAAACTACAATAGCTCCATGTCTTAACAAGATTTCTGATGCACAAGTCAAATCCCGAGGGTGAAATAGAAATGACTATAAATGGCAACGCAAGCAGCTCTGGAATCTACCGGTGATTATGAAAGTTACACAAATACTTTACCTTATGGCTGGTATGAAAATGGCCCAATTACAGTCATGTGAAAATTAAGTACACCCCATGGAATTTGTTGCCTTTCAATATATTCAAATTGTCAAACATTATACCATTATTTAAACATTGCCTGCAGATAAAAGGTGATATACAGGAATAATAAGAATGCTTTCACACTGATGTGTGTGGTTTTACTACAATGTGGGTGCAGCGCAGTGTACCAATGGTTTCTTGCACTTTGCCATAGACTTTTACTACATTGGGCAGTTTTGGTATGTTTTCTGAAAGCGGATCAAAATGACCTGCATGCAGGTCAAGGAGACAAAAAGCACTCTAGTATAATCTATTATTTAAAATGTTTTATGATGACTTGCAGGAAATGGAAAATTTTCTTATAAAAATACTTACCATCAAACTCAGGAAAATAATCTACAAGGTGAGAGTACATGATCTTGTCTTCAAGAAGGTCCTTCTTATTGAGGAACAAAATTACTGAAGAATTCTGGAACCAGGGGTATGTGATAATTGTTCTGAAAAGAGCCTTGCTCTCCTCCATCCGGTTCTGCAAAGAAAAACACAATATAACTACCATTAATTTCTTCTGTGTAAGCAGTGATCCTTTATGAAACAAATGCAGTAAGGAGGCTTTCAGTAGTTCATTTTTTGATCTTATGTGACAAAAAATACAAGATCATGCAGAGCAAAATGGTGGGGGTAAGAAAAGAAAGTACCAAGCCAAGCAAAGGCTGGATGTAAACAACAATCAACCACACAGTGAACAGTAGTGGAAAGTCAAAAACTTGGCATCGAAGTCAAAAAAAAAAAAAAAAAAAAAAAAAGGTAAACTACTGCCTCACAATCAGCAGCAGCATTGCCACCTTGCCATGTGCAGTTCTTCGAAAGGATTCAAAAACCATGTTAGGTTACCCACCTCGTTATCAGACTCCACAAGAACCTGGTCATATTCACTAAGGGCAACAAGGAACATTATGGATGTAACGTTCTCAAAGCAGTGTATCCACTTTCTCCGCTCAGATCTTTGACCTCCTACATCAACCATTCTGTTAAAGAGATAAAAATAATAGGTATAGCTTTAAGCATGTTTTTTACAGCTGGGCTCAAAACCCAAGAGCATGGCAAATATTACTTCATTTAAAAATGTAATATACAATCAATACTTTACACCTTATCCTGGTTGGTTAGCATTGTGAATTGTGTCAAGTTTTGTGCTAAATTGAAGGCAAACAGACACATACACAGTTGAAATACCTACATGTTGAATAGGGTCATGCAGGCTGTGATTCATAGAAAGACAGAAGCCACCTTGCAGGATAGGATGCCTGCATATAACAAGCTATGGTGAACTTGGATTGCACACCTTTCTCCCACCAGGTTCTAAGGAGTCTTTATTGGAGCCTTGACCTACTTAAGAAATCTTGCCTCTCTTCTCTACCCTGCTGTGGTTGGTGTGGCAAGCCCCAGGACCCCTTCCCCTCTCTTTCCCTTTTCCTTCCTTCTGTTATGTTTATATTCAGCCTCAATAGAGCCTCAGCCTGCAATTTGTATGGTTGAGGCATTTGTTATGGAGCTTTTGTACCTTTACTTTGGCAATATTCACATTACGGATGATTCTGTTTGACTGGCACTGAAATTGAAATAAAATAATTGAAGCAGAAATACAGACGTTAAGTGACCAGTGTAGAAAAGAAAAAAAAGAAGACTTCTGCTTCTCTAGTCTTGGTACACCCGTGCCAAACAGCAAAGCCAGATCAGCTGCATCACTTTTCTCTACTGCAGTAAAGCAATGCTCTAGCACCAACCTGTCCCCTGTGTGCTGACCAGACCAAAAAGCATCACCACAATAATTAGGTCATTGCTCTTGTGACTCCTCCTGTCCGTCACATCACAAAGTTTTTTTTTTTCAGCCAGACTATGTAAAAAAAAAAAAGTCCATCCAGTTCAACCATAGGAAAAAAAAAAAAAAAAGTTATAATCCTATACCCCAACTATATCAAAAGTTGGACTGACAGCAACGCCTACCGAAAATACCCTTACTAATCACGGTTCCCCAATCTGTTTTGTAAAAGAACATTGAAGTTCTAGGTCAAATACTAGAAAATGTCAAGAGAAAGATTAGTAGAAAAGGCTGAAAATAGCGTGCAAGTTGAATATTTTGCACCCAGTTTGTACCTAGTGTTCACAAGAGAGAGGAGTACTTGAGTTTTAAATGTTTGTTTAGGTTTCTGCATACTTTTGGCAAAAAATGATTGGTAAGGATATATAGATTACAAATCATTCATATTGCAACTGAAAGTAGCAGGTACAAATATTCTGAAATGGCTTATGTTAACTTGCTATAAAAAATACAAACAAGAAAACAGCTGCTGCGGTATTTATCTTTAGGACTGCTGGTCACTTTTACAGGGCTCTGAAAGTGAAGTCGTTTTCTAGCAACAAATGCAGATTTTAACATTTGTGTGAAAAAATAAATAATTGCCCTGGTAAAAGAACTTGTGACCAGCAATATTCCATACCATAGGGCACTACTGGTCCCCTTGAGATAGCAAGTAAAAAATAAATAAATAAATTAAAAAAAAAAAAAAATGAAAGTAACAAATAAAAAAATAAAATAAATATATATTCTTTTTAAAGCCCTCCACATACATAAACATTTGCTGGGCACAGCTACATACAAAAACATGTTACATATTGCCCCAAATGCAAAAGTGAGAGCAGTAATTACCGTATTTTTCGCTCCATAAGATGCACTTTTTTCCCCCCAAAAAAGGGGGGGAAATGTCAGTGCGTCTTATTGCGCGAATATAGAGCGGCCGGTCCGGTATTTTCACCGCCGCCGTGTCAGAATATCGGGCCGGCCGCTCAGCTCTGCAGTGGGACCTTACCTGTTCCTCTATCCAGCGGCGCGCTGTCTTCCCGGCTTCTGTAGTGTGCGTGACAGCCGGGTCCCAAGTGTGCATGCACAAGAAGCAGTGCTCTTTGTGAATGGTAAGGCGGTACCTGGGACACATGACCGATCCCAGAAGCCGCCGGACCAATCACAAAGCGCAGCGCTTCTCGCGCATGCGCACTGGGAATCGGGCTGTACGCCGAGCGCCCACACTACAGAAGCCGGGTAGACAGCGCGCGGCTGGATAGAGGAACAGGTAAGATCAAAGAAAAACTCTGCGGAAGTAAGAGCGGGTACCTGTCAAATTCAGGTACCTGCTCCCCCTCCCTCCCCAAAGGTCAGCAGTCATCTCCTGTACTGTGTCTGCAGTCTCTGGTCATCCCCTGTGCTGTCCGCAGTCTCTGGTCATCCCCTGTGCTGTCCGCAGTCTCTGGTCATCCCCTGTGCTGTCCGCAGTCTCTGGTCATCCCCTGTGCTGTCCGCAGTCTCTGGTCATCCCCTGTGCTGTCCGCAGTCTCTGGTCATCCCCTGTGCTGTCCGCAGTCTCTGGTCATCCCCTGTGCTGTCCGCAGTCTCTGGTCATCCCCTGTGCTGTCCGCAGTCTCTGGTCATCCCCTGTGCTGTCCGCAGTCTCTGGTCATCCCCTGTGCTGTCCGCAGTCTCTGGTCATCCCCTGTGCTGTCCGCAGTCTCTGGTCATCCCCTGTGCTGTCCGCAGTCTCTGGTCATCCCCTGTGCTGTCCGCAGTCTCTGGTCATCCCCTGTGCTGTCCGCAGTCTCTGGTCATCCCCTGTGCTGTCCGCAGTCTCTGGTCATCCCCTGTGCTGTCCGCAGTCTCTGGTCATCCCCTGTGCTGTCCGCAGTCTCTGGTCATCCCCTGTGCTGTCCGCAGTCTCTGGTCATCCCCTGTGCTGTCCGCAGTCTCTGGTCATCCCCTGTGCTGTCCGCAGTCTCTGGTCATCCCCTGTGCTGTCCGCAGTCTCTGGTCATCCCCTGTGCTGTCCGCAGTCTCTGGTCCATCCCCTGTGCTGTCCGCAGTCTCTGGTCATCCCCTGTGCTGTCCGCAGTCTCTGGTCATCCCCTGTGCTGTCCGCAGTCTCTGGTCATCCCCTGTGCTGTCCGCAGTCTCTGGTCATCCCCTGTGCTGTCCGCAGTCTCTGGTCATCCCCTGTGCTGTCCGCAGTCTCTGGTCATCCCCTGTGCTGTCCGCAGTCTCTGGTCATCCCCTGTGCTGTCCCGCAGTCTCTGGTCATCCCTGTGCTGTCCGCAGTCTCTGGTCATCCCTGTGCTGTCCGCAGTCTCTGGTCATCCCTGTGCTGTCCGCAGCAGTCTCTGGTCATCCCTGTGCTGTCCGCAGTCTCTGGTCATCCCTGTGCTGTCCGCAGTCTCTGGTCATCCCTGTGCTGTCCGCAGTCTCTGGTCATCCCTGTGCTGTCCGCAGTCTCTGGTCATCCCTGTGCTGTCCGCAGTCTCTGGTCATCCCTGTGCTGTCCGCAGTCTCTGGTCATCCCTGTGCTGTCCGCAGTCTCTGGTCATCCCTGTGCTGTCCGCAGTCTCTGTCATCCCTGTGCTGTCTGCAGTCTCTGGTCATCCCTGTGCTGTCCGCAGTCTCTGGTCATCCCTGTGCTGTCCGCAGTCTCTGGTCATCTCCTCTACTATGTCTGCAGTCCATTAGTTCAGAATTTTTTTTTCCTGTTTTCTGCCTCTAAAACCTAGGTGCGTCTTATGGTCAGGTGCGTCTTATGGAGCGAAAAATACGGTATACAGTTGGCTCTTAACTGCTGACATATGAAGGATTTTAAAGCTTTGCCTGAACACAATTTTGGGCATTGAGGTTTGCCACCGTTTTCACAGGCCTGTGCAATTTTAAAGCGGTTCTATAGGCTGAAGTTTTTTACCCTCATGCATTGTATGTATGAAGGAAAAAAACCTTCAGTGTGTAGCTCCTTCCTCAGCCGCTCTAGTACCACTTGCCTACTGGGCACTTCTACCCCCTTCGTGCCCAGGCCAATTTTCAGCTTTTAGCGCTGTCGCACTTTGAATGACAATTGCGCGGTTATGAAACAATGTACCCATATGACATTGGTTTCATTTTTTCACACAAACAGAGCTTTCTTTTGGTGGTATTTAAATCGCCACTGGGGTTTTTATTTTTTGCACTATAAAAACAAGAGTTTTTCTTTGTTTCTATTATAAACTTTTGCAAACAGGTAATTTCTGTCCTTCACTGATGTGCGTTGATGAGTCTGCATGGATAGGCAACACTGATGGGCTGCACTGATGAGGTGGGACTGGTGGGCATTGATGAGGAAGCACCGATATGCAGCAATGATGGTCACTGATAAGAGGCACTGACGGACGACACTGACAGAGCACTGACTGATGGCACTGATCATCAGTGCTGATCTGCTCTGACAGATGCCGGTTATCGGCAGTAGTTTCCTCACGCTGTGACAGTGTTGCCGATGAAAGTGTTGCTGTGAAAGTGTTGCCGATAACTGGCAACTGTATTTAGTCCGTGATCTGCTGTGTCATTGGACACAGCTGATCACATGGTAAAAGGCCGCTGTGATTGGCCTTTTACCTCATCACGTGATCAGCTGAGTCCGTAGGACACAGCGATCACGGAGATCGCCAATGGGGGCGCGCATTCTGAGAGAATGTCATGATGCCCTCCCAGAACTGGGTAACTGCATTGTAGCCGTTATTCGGCTATAGCGTGGTTATCAAGTGGTTAACTGAGCCCCATGGCAATCCAGAGTTTTGCACAGGAGCCTCAGCTCTCCCTCCTCATTGGCTGAGAAACAGCAGCAGTAGCCATTGGCCCCCCCTGCTGTCAATCATAGCCCATGAGGAGGGAGCAGAGGGTAGGACGAAGCCATACTCTGTATGTCTTACAGACACACACACATGACCCGGAAGCGAGCACGTACGAGTGCCCCCAGAACAAGCAGCTTCCTCTGGGGGCAATCGGCAAGGGGGAGGGGCTAGAAGCACCAGTGGGGACCCAAGGAGGATCAGGGATGCTAAGGGTATGGAAAAGAATCACCCTAATTTAAAAATGATCACATTTTGTTGCTTTGCAGCCTGAAATTAAGACAGACATAGATTTGTTTTATCCAGTTGCAACTTACACTCACCGGCCACTTTAATATTAGGTACATGTTGCTAGTGCCAAAATATCCCCCACACTATTATGCCACCAGTCTGAACTGTTGATACAAGGCTGGATGGATTCATGCTTTTATGTTTACACCAAATCCTGATCCTACCATCTGAATGTCACAGCAACCAGTCTGCCCATTCTCCTCTGATATCAACAAGGCATTTTCGTTCGCACAACTGCCACTCTCTAGAAATGGTTGTGTGTGAAAATCCCAGTACATCAGTAGTTTTTGAAATACTCAGACCAGCCCGTCTAGCACCAACAGCCATGCGACGTTCAAAGTCACTTAAATCCCCTTTCTGATGCTTGGTTTGAAGTTCAGCAAGTCATCTTCTCCATGTCTACAAGCCTAAATGCACTGCGTTGCTGCCATGTGACTGGCTGATTAGCAATCTGTGTTACCAAGCAATTGAGTTGGTGTACCTAATAAAGTGGCCTGAATAAAGTGGCCCAAATAAAGTGGCCCGTGAATGTATCCAAGTGATAGATATAATACCAAAATGCTAGGAAAAAAAAAAAACACTTAAAAAAAACAGAATCAAAAATACCTGCAACTACTTCAGAGTTGCTGTAGGCCTTCTGGTAGCCTCTCTGATCAGTTTTCTTCTGACTTTAATCCAGTTTGGAGCAACATCCTGATCCAGTGAGAGCACCAAATACCTCCCACTTCCTAATAGACTTCACTGTTTCTAGGCATTAATAAAGCCTTTGAATTTTTTTTTTTTTTTTATCTCCACTTGTGCCTATTCACAACTTTATCCAAGAGATCTGTCGACAGCTCCTTGCCAGCCATAGTAGTTTGCTTGCTTCAGTTGCCCTACAGGGACTGAAATGCTCTAAGAAAGCTCTTGTCATTTTGACATTTTGTCAGCATGAAAACAGGTGATCACACTTGAAAGTCAAGTGGTTTTGTGTGCCATTGAGAAAGTGATTAGCTACACCTGAATGAGTTTACAAGTCATTTTTAGGAAGAAGGGTGATCATTTTTCCAACTCAGTGATTCGGTTTTTTGAATTTTTTTTTTTTTCCCCGACATGTTGGCGTTATGTCTTTCACTTCGATGTTATTAGTTCCATGGAGTCATTACAGCTGGATTAAACAAAAACTGTCTAGCTTCATCTCAGGCTGCAAAGCAACAAGATGTGATTTTTAAGGGGGTGATTCTTTTCTATACCCACTGTAAGTATGACACGTTCGGGTTTTTGTTTTTTTTTTTTAAAATTGGAACCTTTAGAAATCTCTTTAAAAGCTTGACAAGTTTGGCATCTATTTTGTCAACATAACCTCATCTTTTTTATATTTTACCAAACAATTTGGTAATAAATAGTGTTGGAGTGTTCTAAAGTCAACTTTGGTGATATTTTTAATGAAAGTCTGCAATTTATAAACAATTAATATTGTGTAATATACAAAATTGCAACCATCATTTTATTCTCCAGAGCCTCTGCTTACATAAAGGTGTTTGGTGGTTTTAAGGACTGCCAAAACTCCCCTCCTTTTGCAAAAATAAAATAAAGACGTCATACTGCAGATGTCCTGAAGTCCCAGTTTACTGCGTTGCCTGCCCAATGGATATAACACTACATGGGTCGAGGTGAAGATGGAGAATTCCGGGGGGCTAAAGATATAGGGGCCAGGGGAGTAAGTGCAAGGCCTTGTGCAAACTGGTACTTAAGCTTACATCTGTGTGAAGGATAGCATTTGCACGCATGTGATGCACAAGTGCTCTGTGCATCTGCATGCAGGCAGTACAATTCATTATTTTTAGGATGCAGCGGCTGTATGCGTGCATAGTTGCTGGTCCAAATCTGACACCCTTGCAGGCACGTTCCCAAATGCGGACACCTTTGCATCCCTTGCAGGTTAACACGGCCCCTGGCATAGATGTATGCTTACGTACGCCTGTGTGAATGAGGCCTTAGGGTGTTTGTTGCTGTCAAATGCTTTACAGGAAAGCTGAACTCAAAGCGTGAAAGTCTGCTATGTTATGAATAACATTTTATCATTTACGTTATTTGTGTCAAATCAGAGCCTTGAAATCCTCCTGAAAACAGAAGTGCACTTCCTGGTAAGTGTGCCTGCAGCCTCATATTTGTATATCTGCAGTGTAAGATCTAAGGCAATGGTGTTTGACTGCTAGTCTTAGGATATTTGAAGTGAGACAAGCCCTTGGCCTGTCTTATTTGGGCACTGCTTCCAGAGTTCAGTTCCTCTATATAAGGGTTCTTGCAGGGGGGCACCAAAAATGCCATTTTAGGCATTTTGCCCCCTTTTTTTTATTTTAATTTTTTTTTAACTGAATAAAGCCCATTGCTTTAAAAATAATTTGCATTACTGGTCAGAGGGTTACACACATAAATCACAGCCCCTTCAATTCTGAGAGCTAAGAAGGCTCATTCTGGAATTCTTATGTGCATATACATGCATGGATGTTTACACATTAAACTGTATGGACTGTACTTTTTTTTTTTAAATATACATTAACCTTCTGCTATTCAGATCTGGCATTAATAAATCAGTACAGTGTGCAAGGACCCTAAGAGTTCATAATCGAATGTAAACCATTCAAACTATGAATTTTGGAAATAAACAAACTGGTAAGCAATACAACATTTACCTAAAGATGATGTTTTCCAGGTCAAAGGGTACTCTATAATACCAGTTGTTGGCACTCTGACACGCAATACATCTTGCTGTGTGGGCAGGTACCCAGGCTTAGAAATACGATCCACGTCAGACAAGTAACTGAAGAACAGAAATAGATAGAATTCCATACTCATTAAGAAAAATTAAGGAGTTAAACACTTTTAAGTAAAAGCACAATCTGGAGAAACATAAAATAACAATAATAAAGAACATCATGAGAGCTTTTGTCAAGACATTAAAATATACTCATAAAATGTGAAGTATATTTTGTTTTGGATAAGATGATGAAGGGTTAGAAGCCTGTTAAGTTTTTAACGACATCTGTGCCAGGATAGAAGTGTTGGTCAAGCTCTGAATCCATGATACATTTTTCATTGCTGTCAGTCTCTTCCTTTCCCAGTGTGACAGCTCCTTAAATCTCATGTACAGGTGTCAGAGAGATAGAAGTGAGGAAAAGAAAATGTCCCTGTTGAGATTACAGACACTAACACTTCTCCAATCTTTTTATAGGCCAACTCCACCTTTTGTACCATGTTACACCAGTATTTAGGATGCAACATGTAACATGGTGCAAATGGGAACCCTCTCCTCCCTTGTGACAGTGGCAGGGGTTTGTCTTCCCAGCAGCAGCTATCATATTTGATCTATGCACAGCTGCGCTCTACCCACACACTGGCTTCATTCATTCAAAGGCATTTGCAAATTAATAAACTGCGGCAAACAGACTTGTAGGTTTCAATAGAATGTGTGTGGTAATCACCGCACTCTTAGTCCACTGAAACGTCCTCCAGCTCTGCAACTTTAAGTCTGTACATTGGTAGCTAGAGGAAGGTTGTGCAGGAGCCTGGCACTGCACCTGTGATCCACTGATTGTGGGTGCAGTGATTTGCAAACTCCTATGCAAAAAATAAATAAATGCACGTCAGCCTAGATAGATGCATATGGGCAGAATGTTTTAGATGGAAAGTAAGAACGTGCTATCCCTCCTCCCCTTTATTTTGTTTCTCTTTACCTTCCATCCCTCATTCCCCACTCCTCCCTCCCCCTTTTTTTTTTTTTTTTTTTTTTTTTTAACTCTCTAATGTCCTACCCCCCCCCCCCCCCCTTTTCCCTCGCAAAATATTGTAACGGTGATGTAGTGGACTGTGCTGATCTCTCAATCTCTCTGTAATATCATATGTGAATATAGATAAGTATTGTCATATTTAGTGATTTACCCTTATTGTTTATGCTCTGTATGTGGAGATGGATCAGCTTCTACCATTGAGACTACTATATGACTTTCATTGTGCCATTTGCTGCAACTTTAGTTTTTGTCCTACTGTGAGCTGTACCGTCTCGGACAAATCTTTAATGAAACATTATTCTCCTGCAAATATAAGTGTATTTAATATTTTTCTGTAAAAGGTGGACTTGGTCTTTAAAAGTTAAACAACATTTTTAGCTGAAGATAGAGAATGTGTAAAATATATATAATTATTTTTTGTAATAATTGAATCTGTCTTTGTTTATACCTTTTAGAACAGGGGACTATTTGTATACAGTCAAGTAAGATTCACACAACTTTCACTCTGGAGTCACACATTTGTCAACTGAATCCAATTTGAAAAAAGTGTACGTCTAAGATGAAAGTCACGTAACTCCTGTGTGAACACACTTATAAAAATAGTTCAAGTGTTCTTCAATGCATATTAAAGCAGTTGTAAAGGTTCATTTTTTTTCCTAAAATAAAGATGGTATACTTACCTGCTCTAAACAATGGCACAGAGTGGCCCCACACTTCTTCTGGGGCCCCGCGAAGGCGCTGTCCACGCCTCCTCCCTTCCAACTACTTACTATGGGAGCATACTTGTGGGCTCGACCCCACCCCTCATTCCCTCCTCACATGATTTGATTGACAGCAGCAGCCGACGCAAACAATGCAACTTTACAGTGTCAGACAATTCAATCTACCTGGGTTGAACTCTACCACAATTGAATACAACTGGGATGTATAATAATGACTGGATGCTGTCAAACATGGTATTGATTTATAAATACAGAAATGAATGATTAGTTACTATTATCAAAACCTGAGTTTATGGTGTTTGGAGTAAAAAAAAAAAAAAAAAAAGTTTTCAGGGTGAAACACAAATTCACTGCTATGTATTGGCTACTTTTCTGTTCTAACAGAAAGGAGAAAATATACTGCAACTGTGTCAACAACTGTGCAATCCAAAATTTCCTTTCCTGACTGCTTGGTTCCAAAACAGTCATTCCTAATTTGTTCTGGCTTATTATGCGTTAATCATAAGAGAGTCTATTGTTACTGTATGGCCATGTAATCACAGCACGTACAAACACAATGGCAGAAGCCATATATGCCGTAATCTGCAATATTGCCCGTGATCTCAAAACACAGGTTCAATGGCACCTAAAATGTGGTGCGGTTTAGCCAAGATTGTTACGTGACAAAATCACATTGTGTGAAGCTTGTCGCCGAAAAGAAGCTCCTGCTCATTTTTGGGCAACAAGAAGCTTTACGCGATGCAATTTGCCACAACTGCTGTGCAGGAAATCACGCAGCAAAACTGCACCACATTTTAGGTGCCATGGAATATAATGACAACTGAACCTGCATTTTGCGACTGTAGTGCATTTTGTGATTGCAAGCAGAATCGCAGAGATTCTTTCGCAATCCCAAAAACACCCAGGTGTGATTGGGGCCCAACGAAGCAGAAGTTTCCGTGTGAGAGGGTAACCTGAAAGCAATAAAAGAGCCCAACTCTCCTCGTGACGAGCAACTCTTCATGACGAGCACCCAATCAGTGCTTGTCACACTGCAAGGTCTCTCCCCTTCCTGCTAGTCCCTGGGTGTGTTTCTGAAGACAGGCAGGGAGGGAGATGAACAGCGCAATGTTAACAACAAAACGTTTAAGTCGCCATAAAATCCCTTCATTTTTAAAAGCCCCAGACATTCCTTAACCACTTGTCCTCTTGAGGATTTACCCCCCCCCCCCCCCCCGACCAGACCATTTGTTGCAATACGGTACTGCATTAACTGACAGTTGAGCGGTCATGCAATGCTGCACCCAAATTAAATTTACATCCTCTCTTTCTCATGAATTGAGCTTTCTTTCAGTGGTATTTGATCACCTGTGTTTTTATTTTTTGCACTGGGATAAAAAAAAAAAAAAAAAAAAAAAAAGACAATTTTGAGGAAAGAAAAAAAAAAAAACACAATATTTTTTGACTTTTTGCTATTAAACATGTCCAGTAAATTTTTTATTTTTTTTTAAAAATCGAATTTAGTCATAAATTTAGGCCAAAATGTATTCTGCTACAAGTCTGCTAAAAGAAAAAAAAAATCCCAATACATGTAAATTAATTGGTTTACGTGAAAGTTATAACATTTACAAATGGCGGTATATATACACACACTGGAATTTTGTTTTGTATATTTTACTAGTGGTGGCGATAGGCGACTTATAGCGGGACTGCAGCGGGCATTCTAACACTGGAGGGAACTGACTTGGTGTCACTGACTTCCCCAGTGACCCCAATACAGTGATCAGTGCTTTAAAAAAAAAAAAAAGGAGGACGACTGTACTAATGGCACTGGGCAGAAAGGGGCTAACATGAGGGGCGATCAAAGGGGTTAACTGGGTTCTGGGAGTGTTTTACTGGGGGTCAGTGTGTTTTTGTGCACCCCTGCCGCCCTGTAGCAGTACATCTGCTATAGGGCGGTCGGGATGTGCCCAATAAAAAAAAAAAAAAAACCATCAAACCTTCACTTTTTTTTTTTTTTTTTTTTTTTTTTTTATCAGGACAAGATTGTCATGAGGGACAAGTAGATTGGGACTCCGATTTAATTTCGCAGACAAGTAGTTTTTAAAAAAAAAAAAATTCCATACCTCTGAAATGGTTTCATTATTTAGAATAGAATATGATTATTAGATTATGAAAAGTAATAGAGTTAAAAAAAATAAAAAAAATACACACCCTCAAGAAAAAAACTCACCTTGCACCTTTTGCATCAACAATGTGGCCCACAGCAAGACACATTTAATACACATTATAAAAATTGTTACATTTTGGTAGTTACAATTTTCATTGCATATAAAACATCTAAAAAGATGGACTTACTATTTGGCAGAGTCTGACAGCTGGTATTCCCGACGCCTATCATAGCATTCTTGGATACCTGGGTCATTCCACAAGGTTTTGATTGCACTAACATATGGCTGTTCAAATGTACACACTTTTTCCACATCAATTTCTCTCACAAGGAGTGCATTAGCCTGGAAAATAAAAGGCGGTAAAGTCAAGATCCAAGGTTTAACCATCAGCAAGCATGCGTTGGTCATGTTTGGTTAAGGCAACAAAGCAGCAATGCTGTCTTTTGAGTCTACCAGAACCTTAAAGTACCTAAAGAACATTAACCCTGGAAGGGGAAACTCTGGTGTTGTTGGAAGAACTTCTTACTAGTGCGGAATGACTGGAAGGGTGATAATTCCAGTTGTTTTACACAAGTCCAAGCCCTCTAATTATGTTAGATATTTTTTATCCAACAAAGAGGTATATTCATTGAAACCTTGATATTTAAGGAATGATTTTTTTATGCAACCATGTCTTTTGGTACAAGTTAAGAGTGGGTTGATGTCTATGTTGTAAAGAGCACTAGACTCAAGAGTGAAATATCAGAATCTGGTTTGGGTCATCTAGGGAAGATAGGTGACATCCGTAAAAAATGTTGAGACATCCAAAAAAGGTGTTTTATAAATGATATACAAATTAGTAAGATCTCATCTGGAATATGCAGTTCAGTTTTGAGCACCAATTCAAAAAAAGAACATTGGGTAACTGGAGAAAGTACAGAGAAAGGCAACCAAACTGATACGAGGCATGGAGGAGATCAGCTATGAGGAAAGATTAGAGGAACTGAATTTATTCTCTCTTGAGAAGAGGAGATTAAGGGGGGATATAATCAACATGTATAAATACATCAGTGGTTCATATAGTGAACTCGGTGTAGAGATATTCACCCTGAGGTCATCACAGAGGACAAGGGGGCACTCTTTACATCTGGAGGAAAAGAAATGTAATCTCCAAACACGGAAAGGTTTCTTCACAGTGAGAGCTGTGAAAATGTGGAATAGACTCCCTCAAGAGTTGGTTCTGGCCAGCTCAGTGGATTGCTTTAAAAAAGGCCTGGATTCTTTCTTAGATACACAGAATATAACTGATTACTAACATTTATAGGTAAAGTTGATGCAGGGAATATCTGATTGCCTCTCAAGGGATCAGGAAGGAATTTTTTTTCCCTGCAGGAACAAATTGGATCATGCTTTGCTGGGTTTTTTTTGACTTCCTCTGGACAAACTGTGGGTATTAGTATTATAACTTTTTTTTTTTTTTTTTAAATGCTTGAACTGGATGGACTTTTCTCCTATTTCAGCCAGACTAACTATGTAACTATATACAGAAGTTAACCGCTTGCCCTCCAGAGGATTTACCCATCTTCCTGACCAGGCCATGTTTTGCGATATGGCACTGCGTTATTTTAACTGACAATTGGCACGGTCATGCAACGCTGCACCCAAATGAAATTTACGTAATTTTTTTTCCAACAAATAGAGCTTTCTTTCGGTGGTATTTGATCGCTTGTGCGGTTTTTTATTTTTTGAGCTATAAATATAAAAAGACCAACAAATTTGAAAAAAAAACCCTATATAATTTTTAAATCTTTAGCTATAAAACATCCAGAAAAAAAAAAAAAAAAAAAAAAAAAAAAGAAATCATATTTCGTCATAAAATTTAGGACAAAATGTATTCTGCTATTTCCTAAAAAAAAAAAAAAAAATCAAATCCCAATACGTGTAAATTAATTGGTTTACGTGAAAGCTATAGCGTTTATAAAATGGTGGTATATATACAGTAGAATTTTTATTTTTTTTTTACTAGTAATGGCGGCAATCAGAGACTTCTAGCGGGACTGTGGCGTGCATTCTTACACTGGGGGGAACTGACTTGGTGTCACCAACATCCCCAGTGACACCAATAATGTGATCAGTGCTAATAAAAAGCACAGACACTGTACTAATGGCACTGGGCAGGAAGGGGTTAACTGTGCTGTTTTACTACGAGTCTGTGTTGCACTGTAAGTACACTGCTTTGCATGGCTCGGCTATGCAGAGCCATACAAAAGCAGTGTGCAGAAGCTGACGGGGGAGAGATCTGTATTGTTTACATACAGGTCTCTCCCCCGTCGGAAATCCTGGGAGATCAGCAGGGAATCACCAACTAGGACACGGTGATTAACAGCCGAGGCTGCAAATTGTGGTGCGGGTAGGGGTGCACACCCCCTACCTGGAACTGCAAAATCTCGTACATATATATATATACACACACACACACGTCATTTTGCGCTCCTGTGCTGCCCTGTAGCAGTATTTCTGCTATAGAATGGCACAGAAGTGGTTAAAGTGACATTAAACTCTGGCTTAATAAATATATTTTTGGAGCAAGGGATGGCAGGTTTAGCGTTTTCTCTGTCTGCAAGTTCTATTTCATCATGACCAACCGGGTTCTAAGAACATTAATGCAGATGCTTTCTCGAAGCTTCATACCCTGCTCTACTTAATTTGAGGAGCACCCCATTCTGCCCAGATCACTGCCTCTCTCTCGATCTCTGCTCCAGGCAGCCTAGAATTCTGCGCCTAGCAGTGCTCCTGCCTAATTGTTTTGTTTGTTTCTTCTTCAAAGCTTCAACAGTCACATCATCATGTCAAGTCTGCTGCCGATCAAGGCATTCACAAGATGATCGCTCTTCTTTCCCATTCGGTCTGGTGGCCATCTCTCAGAGAAGATGCTATGGCCTACGTCAGTGCCTCCAAGATCTGTGTACAGTCAAAGCCTTCTGACCTGCTCTCACCACTACCTGTCCTGAAACGTCTGTGGACTTCTATCTCAAAAGGATTTCAAAGCTGATTTAACTGCTTCCATGGGCAAGACTGTCATCAGGGTGACAGACCACTTTAGGAAGATAACCCATTTTGTGGAATTATTCAAGTTGCCTTCTGTTAAAAACATCATTTTACCTTTTTCTTACAAGAAACGATCAAGCTTCATGGCATATCAGTAAACATTCTGTCTGAAGATCTCAGACAGATCTTCACACCACTGCATTCAATGCTTTGCATTGCACTTGGTGACTTAAGGTTTGGATGCAGCTGCTCGGCCATGAAAACCTATTCCATAAAGCTCTCTACGCACTGTAGTGCTAAACTGAAGGCCACATGAAGTTTGGAGGTCTTTAGCCATTGACTTTGCAGAAAGTTGGTGACTTCTGTGCACTTCAGCATGTGCCGACCCCATCTGTCATTTTACTTGGCCTTCTACTTTGTGGCTGTGTTGCTGTTCCCAGTTGCTTCCACTTTGTTATAATCCCACTAACAGGTGACTGTGGAATATTTAGTAGCAAGGAAATTTCACGGATGGACTTATTGCACATGTGGCAACCTAACAGTACCACACTTGAATTCACTGAGCTCCTGAGAGCGACCCATTCATTCACAAAAATGTTTGTAGAAGCAGTCTGTATGCCTAGGTTGACTGTTGGCTAGGTTGGATGTGGCCATGGAGGCAATTGGAACACCCGATTTGGAGGAGTAGAAGAGGACTCCAGTGGCAACCTGTGAAGCTCTGGTGAACTCCATGTCCAAGAGGGTTAAAGCAGTGCTGGAAATTAATGGTGTCCACACAAAATATTGACACTTTGGACCCAATTTGGACATTTTCACTTGTACTCACTTTTGTTGCCAGCGGTTTAGACATTAATGGCTGTGTGTTGAATTATTTTAAAGGGACACCAAATTTACAATATTATACAAGCTGTACACTCACTACTTTACATTGTAGCAAAGTGTAATTTCTTCAGTGTTGACACACAAAAAGATAAAATATTTACAAAAATGTGAGGTGTACTCACTTCTGTTTGATACATACACACACACACACACACACACACACACACACACACACACACACATATATATATACATACACATATATATATACACACACACACACACACACACACACACACACACACACACACGTTACACCCCACAACAAAAACACATCTCCATCTAGCATTTTGTATGACCTCCATGATTTGTAAGGAAAGCACCAAGTCTTTTAGGCATGCAATGAACAAGTTGGCAACATATTGCAACATCGATCTTTTTCCATTTTTTAAGAATAACTTCTTCAGAATTCCCCAAAAGGTTTTCAATTGGGTTCAGATCAGGAGATATACTTGGCCACTGAATAACTTTCACCCGGTTTTCTTCAGAAATGCAACAATGGCCTTAGATGTGTGTTTTGGATCATTGTCATGTTGGAAAAGTGCACGACGACCCAGGGCACAGAGTGATGGTGGCATATTCTCTTTCAATATAGAGCAGAACATCTATGAATTCATGATACCATCAATGAAATGCAGCTCCTCGACACCATCAGCATTCATGCAGCCCCACAGGAGGACACTGCCACCACCATGCATTTTTCTTTGTACTCCTCACCTTTGGGACACCATACAGTTTTGAAGCCATCAGTACCAAAAACATTTATCTTGGTCTCATCACTCCAGAGTGCAGAGTCCCAGAAGTCTTTTCAGCATAGGACCTGGCAAATTCTAGGCAGGATTTTTTGTGCATGGGTTTTAGGAGAGGCTTCCTTCGTGGACAACACCCATGTATGCCTTTCCTCTGCAGTGTACACCATATTGTGTCACAGGAAACAATAACCCCAATTTGGCGTTCTACTTCTTTAGCCAACTTCATGTCAACCTGCATGGCAATTTTCTTCAACCCTTCATCAGAAGCAGCTCCTGTTGATGTATTAACGTCCATGGATGGCCTGGATGTCTCTGAGATTGCAGTTCCACCTGTGTTACATTTTTGTATGACTTTTGCTACAGTATTTTGACTGATAAGTAAAGCTTTGCTGGTCTTCATGTAGCCTTCACCTTTCTTGTGTAAGTAAAGCTTTGCTGATCTTCTTGTAGCCTTCATCTTTCTTCTATGTGGTGTCATTGCTGACAGCATGAAATGGGAGGGGTTTTCTTTGTTAAGTAAAGCCCTTTTAGTCTGCTGGACACATGTTTAAAGAATAATTAGACTCGCCTGTAGTTGAAGTCTTGTTAATTAGGATTTTGTCTAAAATTTAGCTTTGCAATCTCTTGTAGCCTGGAGCCTAAGCTGCTTATGGAGATTGTGAAGCCACTATAACCTGAGCTAAGTAACTTTTAGCGCATTTCTACTGTATACAGTTCATTGTTCGTGCTCATTCATTAGGGAGGTTAGGTAGCATGTGCATGCATGCTGTATTGTATGTCTCTACTAAGCAAAAACATTTTAAGACTTACAAAGTATTAAAAGCACATTAATACATTACAGAGGTTTTTATGCTTCCTGGCTTTACTGCAAAGTACTTTAAAAAGGCACAAAGCAAGACAGTATCCAGCCAGTCACTTGTCCTAATCACTCCTGTATATGGTATCTGCCTCGAACCTTTTAGTGCCCAGTCATACCGGGTGCGACTTGCCATGCGAGTTTCAAAACGCATGGCAAGTCGCGCCCTATTGTCCACAATTAAAGTGGTCATATTGGTGCGATTCCAACTTGGTCGGAGCCGCACCAATTTCTAAAGTAGTGCATGTATGACTTCAGGTGCGACTTGCATAGACCTCTGTGTCTTGCAAGTTGCACACCTCAAGTTAGAATGACAATCACTTCACTGGAAGTCGCACGATTTCAAAGTCAGATCAGACTAAATCATGAAGCCATCTGACATGGTACAGAACCTTTTTCTCTAAGGGTTGCTGAGAAGCATCCCAAGTACTGGCTGGTATATTATCCTTGAAGGAAAGGAGGTTGCTATAGGCGAGACTACACTTCGCAGGACAGGCCCTCAATGCTGCAAAAAAATCTTTAGATGGCACTGAATAGGACCACACCTGGAAGGTGCTCAGGAAATTGGGGATGGCTCAAAGTGTATTTAAAGGAGTTCAGATATTATACTTCTCCCCCCCCCCCCCCCCCCCCCCCCTCCACATGACTAGATGGCTCATTAATAACTCTCTCACATTCTAGACCATGGAAAGAGGCACTTTCTGCTGTCACCTTTATTTTCACTGGCAACTGAGCCCCTTGCTGTAACTTTCAGTGAAAATCCTATTAGGGGCTTTGCCAGGTCCAATAAGGAAGGCAAAATGCCCATGTATGCAGATGGCACTAGGCAACATCCATTTTTGCTTTTATTATTTGCATTGCAGCTATTAGTCAAAATCCTAATATTACTGGGAAGACAAAAATTACCCTATATGCAGATGATACGATTCTGTTTTTAGGAGGTACATCAATCTCACTAGAGCATGTTATGACTACAGTGCATACCTTTGGTAACTTCTCAGGCGTGTTGATAAATTGCGGACAAATCCTCTTTACTGACACTTTACCCTATTCAGCATCCAATCTGACTGTGCACAGCAAATTAGTATTGTTGACTTTTGTTACTTAGGAATAATCTCCCCTGACCCCCAAGAATATGTAACACTAAGGCCTAGTTCATATTTGTGTTATTTCAGATGCTACTAGAGTCGCACAGAACTGCGTGTCTCTGTAAATGACATTCTCTATGAGGCCTGTTCACATCAATGCATCATAGCAAGGTGCGATTTCAGAAAAAGGACCTGTACCACTTTGTTAAGAGTACAGCTGTGATTTGGCCCCATGGAGTCCAGTGGAAAGGCACAGAAAAAGCATGTACATGCATTCTCTTATGCTTTATTACTGCGATTTGGCAGGTTGTTAAGGAGCAGACACCAGCCGGCATCCTAACAACCAATGATTAATCCCTGCTGTCAGTTGGAGATTCCATGTGAATGAGTAAGGGATTAACCACACCACCCTACATCCTGACGATCAGTTCTCACAGTTCCCCAGTGGTGATCAACTACCACCAAAAGAAAGCGGTGTGAAAAAAAGATAAAAATTTCATTTGGGTACAGTGTTGCATGACCGAGCAATTACCAGTTAAAGAAGAACAGTGCTGAGTAGCAAAAAAACAAACAAATGGCCTGGTCATGAAGGAGGTAAAACCTTCTGTAGCTCAATTGGTTAAAAACACTTAGTGACCCTGCTATGTAAGACCTGGTGCAGGCTCTTCCTGGTAAAGGGTGGCAACCCTGTCCCAGTAAACACTACAAGAGAGACAGGAAACATTGCACAGGTATGTGTCACTGTTGTCATCAGGAAACCCACTGTATTGTCATGCAGCCATCGATGGAGTGAATGTAGGCAGAAAGGAGTGATAAGGTGGAAAAAAAAAAAAAAAGGATACGGACCATAATCTATAAAGATTTGTAAGCACTAGGTGGTAAATCTGAAGTGAAACAAGCAAGCCACTTTGGCCATGAACACATCTCTACAGTTTAAATTACAATTGTTAAATTTCTCAGCACATACCCTATACATAACAATAATCATATGCTGGCCTTTATTATGTATTTAATAAACTGCCAAGTTTCTTACTGTGTCAATGGGTTGTATAATGTGTGGGGATGCTCCCTTTCTAAAAAAGTGTTTGATGAAAAGTTTACAGAGGAAAGTTACGTGTCAGTGAACAGTCTCTAAGCAACCCAGCACCACAATCGTCCACAGAAACTCTGGGCATTAATGTACCACCCAAAAAAAAAAAAATGTATACACATAACTTACCTTGTTCTGTTCGTATTTGTAAAGAATTTTTAATGTTTCCATGGCACGGATCATAGATTGAATTGCAGTAAAGATATTCTGAAAAACAAGCTTGGTAAAGCCCTTTTTGTCTTCTTCTGAATAGCCAGTACCATGGATTATTCTCATCTGTTTAATGAATGTGCTCTTCCCACTTTCTCCTGTACCTAGAAAAGAAACAACAAAATGATCAGAACTTCCTCATATTTAAGCATATTACAGACTGTGAAACAAGAGAACTGGTTTCAGAGGACATCCATAACAAAAATACACACTCAGACCTGATCTAGTGACAAGACCATAAACTACTGCCTGTTCCATTATGAATTAATATGGCACTTCTTGGGGGAGGGAGAAAGAGTCCTTAGCCCTTCTATGGATGAAACACAATCATCCGCCTGTCCTCCATTCATAGAAAATGTATTAAGTTCTATGAATGGAGCAGCTGGGTGGAAAGGGTGGGCATATGCAGGCACACTTGAGTGCCTGTCTTAGCCCCAAAGTTATAACACCCACATCAAGATTATGTCAGCAGAAAGCTGGAGGGTGATTTGTGGGGGCTATCTGAGGAGGAAGATTTTGGCAAAAGGAAGACAGCAGCACAAGAGAAATCTTGCTAAAAGGCAAGTAATATCCCTCACTTACATAAAACTTGATAATACTTTTAGTTTTTTTTTGTTTGTTTTGTTTAAAAAGGTAAAAACTAAAGGCTTTAAATGCACATCTTGTGAGGTTTCCTATGACTAAGAAGATGAGCAGAACACACCACCTGTACAGACCTGCATTAGATATGTACCAAGAAAGTCCAAAACTATGTAAGAAATGAAGTCCAATATTCATGTCTTTGATTCAATGTCTATTGCCAGGAGTCATAAGTGAGGACTTCTACTCATCAGTGCACTCGTGCGATCATTGGAGATCACAGACTGCTGGCAGTAGGCACACCCCCTACACAGGGTCAAAAATCGAACAGGCTAACTTTTCCAGGGGTCACATAAGATCTAAATGCAAGCCACGTCCATCTGATTAAAAATATGTTTTCAAAGCACCTTGATGACTTGCATAACAAAAACACCAGCTTCAACTACAATATTTATTGCTGATATATTTTGTGATAAAATTGCCCAAAAACATTTTAAAGCACAAAGTTGCAAAATACATAAAATTATGTAAGAAAATACATGTTTTATGATGCTACGGCTCAGTTTAGGACATCATTCAATTAAAAAGTTATTAAAACTAAAACCAAACCTTTATTAAAACTGCAGCTTACTAGTTCTTAGATGTAATGGCTGAACTAGTTTTCTTTTTTTAGGCTTTAATTATTTTCGCCTGATGATCTAGCCAGGAAGTCAGTTTTGCAAAAGAACAAGCTGTCCTGTAGATGTTGCAGTTAGGCTCCATGTGCACGGGACGCTTCTAAACGATGGAAACTGCTGGAAAACGTAGGTTAAAAAACGTCTGTTTAGCCACGTTTGCATACCGCGTTTAGAAGGTTTTTTAAAGATAGAGATATTTTTATTTTATTTTTTTTACTAGGAGGATCAGCAGATCACAGGTGCAATCTCCTGCAGACTGTTAAGTGTATCTGTCTGCTCACACCTCATACAGGCAGGCAGTTACACAATGACAAGCTTTAGAAGTTCAAAACACCCTGGTAGTTCATTAAGAACTACAAGATTTTTTTGTTTTTTTGTTTTTTTTTTTTTTAAATTGTGACAGCGGGTACGGGGAGGGGATCCCCTGCCAACTGTCACCATGGGGAATCAGGGTTTCTGCAATAATACATTACACCCTGAACATGGGTGTAACACGTTACAAAAGGTGAACATATACTTTAAAAGAAGATCGACTGGATGCTACAAAAAAAAAAAAAAAAAAAAAAAAGCTTCCCAGGGACAAGTGAAAATTAGGTCACTGCTATTATATGGTTCTCAAGAAATGTACATTTTAGAGAATACACATTACCGCATTATTAAAACATCTACGCCTCATAAGAATAAGAAGGAAAAGAGAGTCTGGCACTTTGGACTAAGTGGGTACCGTATTTTTCGCACCATAAGACGCACTTTTTTCCCCCCCAAAAAAAAGGGGGGGAAATGTCAGAGCGTCTTATGGAGCGAATATACAGCGGCCGGTCCGGTATTTCCACCGCCGCCGTGCAGATTACCGGGCCGGCCGCTCAGCTCTGCAACGGGACCTTATGGAGAGGATTGCTGACCTTTGGGGAGGTGGGGAGCGGGTACCTGAATTGGACAGGTACCCGCTCTTACTTCTTTTATCTTACCTGTTCCTCTATCCAGCGGCGCGCTGTCTTCCCGGCTTCTGTAGTGTGGGCACTGGGCATGACAGCCGGGTGCCAAGTGCACATGCGCAAGAAGCGGTGCTTTTTGTGAATGGTAAGGCGGTACCTGGGACACATGACAGATCCCAGAAGCCGCCGGACCAATCACAAAGCGCAAGTGCTTCTCGCTCATGCGCACTGGGCATCCGGCTGTCATGACGAGCGCCATTACAGAAGCCGGAAGACAGCGCGCGGCTGGATCGAGGAACAGGTAAGATCAAACAAAAACTCTGCGGAAGTAAGAGCGGGTACCTGTCAAATTCAGGTACCCGCTCCCCACCTCCCCAAAGGTCAGCAGTCATCTGTGCTGTCCGCAGTCTCTGGTCATCCCTGCGCTGTCCGCAGTCTCTGGTCATCCCTGCGCTGTCCGCAGTCTCTGGTCATCCCTGCGCTGTCCGCAGTCTCTGGTCATCCCTGCGCTGTCCGCAGTCTCTGGTCATCCCTGCGCTGTCCGCAGTCTCTGGTCATCCCTGTGCTGTCCGCAGTCTCCCTGGTGTCATCCCTGTACTATGTCTGAAGTCCATTAGTTCAGAATTTTTTTTTTCCTGTTTTCTGCCTCTAAAACCTAGGTGCGTCTTATGGTCAGGTGCGTCTTATGGAGCGAAAAATACGGTATTTATAATAAACACAAGCACATTAAAATACTGGATAATTTAAAGTGATACTAAACTCTGGTTAAAAAAAAAAAAAAAAAAAAATCGTCTACTCTAGTATGTATTCTTAACTATTGTCCTCAGCCTGCTCCATATCCTTTTTTGCTGATGGAATCTGACTTCCTGCTATGCAGGCCATAGACTGTTCGTTTATCGGCTGATTTTTCGTCCGAAAGAATAATCAGCCGATTTTCGCACGGTTAGTGGGGCAATGGCATCGGCCGATTTTCGCGGTTCCTCCTCATTTCATTTAATCGGTCATGCTGGAAAATTCGTGAAAAACGGACAATTTTTGCAATCATTGGTGGCAACATTGGTTTACAGAACGAACGATGTTTCGTTTTTCAAATGAAAAAAACGGTATGATAAACGAACCGTCTATTGCCTGCATTAGTGTGTGGCTAGGCTTGTTCTCCATGGTCCCACTGTCAGTAGGAATGTAGCCACACTCTTCTGCGCACTCCCAAGCTGGACTAGGAACTATGGTAATAGAGCAGGGCACGTGAGGGGGGGAAAAGGAGAGGTTTGGGAGCTTGTCGAGGACCTTAAAAGAAGGGAGGGGAATAAAAAAAAGGAAGAAATTATTTCTTGAAAAATTAATTACAGGACCATTATTTTTGGACTAACAAGGATTTAGTTTAGTGTTACTAACTCAAGAAGTTTTATTATGGTACTATACCCTAAATGTCAAGTCATATTTCAAAAGATTCTGCTTGTCATTTACAAAAACCTAACTTTGACACTTCACATTATCTGCCAAATAGCAGGCTGTTGACAGGTCCAAAAAAAAAAAAAAAACACAAAAAAAAAAAAAAAAATCACACTTGGGAAAAAAACTGCAGTGGCAGTCTGGCAACATCACACTGTAAGGCAGGGGGGGAAAAAAAAAAAAAAAAAAGGCGGCACAAACTGGACTGTTGGATGACCTATCTCCACTAGAGGAACAGGTGCCAGTGGATGACACGTAAAGGTGGAGGCAGGGAGAGTTTTTATTGTTTAATGGCAAACGGATGGGAATTTTTTTAATGGGCTTAACACTTGACTTTATTTCTAACTCTTGCCATACGCCCCTATAGCGTTTGATAGGCGTTAGACAGGCGTGTGGGAAGCGTTTTTAAAGCTCCTCAAAACGCCCTATGCACGGTTTTGAGGCGGTTGATTGGTGTTTGCCAAGCGTTAAAACTGCTTCACAAATGCCTATAATGAAGTTAAATGGTATTAACGCTCCGCAACCGCCTGCCAGGCGTTTGCGGAGCAGCACCATAGATTTGAATAAGAGGCTCCAACTCCTCCTGACTCAACACAAGGTGTAAGTTTTGTCATGATGCTAACGCTTCAGTGTGAACAGCTGCCATGTGCAGAATGTTCATAGGCGTTTGGGAAGTGTTTTTAATGCTTCTCAAACAACTGTCTGACGCCTGCTGACAAAGCTACTGTGAATTGAGCTTTAAAAAAAAAAAAAAAAAAAAAAAAGTTGGCGTATGGGGGAAAAAAAAAAAAAAAAAAAAAAAAAAAAAAGGGTATGCTCTCATCTCCACTCAACTTTAAAACCCGAGAAAAGAGTGATCACATGACCGCTGCTCAGTTAACTCAAGGTGAGAGTGGTGACTGTCCGTCACCGCTCTCTGATCTGCCCCTTTAATGCTCACTGGAGTGCTGGGCTGGCAGCCACATGCTGAAAAGCCGAGCCAGCTGACAATTAATCATCGGGGTGGATGCCAACAATATGGTTGGGATCCTTCCAAAGCCTGGAGCGGGTTTGTGATGTCAGTGGACAGCAGGCTTTACAGGAGAGCACCAGAGCATGCTGTGACCAAAAAAGCTTTTGTCTTCTCTTTTAACCACTAGCCTACAGGGCACTTATACCCCCTTCCTGTCCAGGCCAATTTCCAGCTTTCAGTGCTCTCACACTTTGAATGACAATTGCGAGGTCATGCAACACTGTACCCATATGAAATTTTTTAGCTTTTTTTGTGACAGATTTATTTTGGTGGTATTTAATCACCTCTGGGTTTTTTTTTATTTTTTCTTAAACAAACCAAAAACCACTGAAAATTTAAAAAAAAAAAAAACAAAAAAAAAAGTTTTTTTTCTTAGTTTTTGTTATAAAATGTTGTAAATAAGTGATTTTTTCTCCTTCACTGATGTGCACTAATGAGGCTGCAGTGATGGGTAC